CAGTGTGGAGAGAGCCACTGTCGGAGGTTCAGTGAGCGAAACCACAGTGCAAAGTCACAAGACCAAAAATCTGTTCCAAGTAGTTTCCTCCTCAGCTGGGAAAGGACACGGAGGGTCAAAAGCAGAGTTTCTGAAAGAGTCGCTCAAATGTGTGCATTCTCTTTCACTCAGGACGTGGAGATGGGCCTCTGAGGTAGGGCACCCAATGTGAGTAAAGACGATTGTCTCTACAGAGCAGGCCTGGGCCTCCAGTGAGGGGCTATAGCTATTAGCACAGTTCCTCCTCTACTGCCCAGCGTGACTCTCTCAATATTTCTTTGCCTTCTTTTTTTTGTTCTCCCTTCTCTTACTTTTGCTTCTTCAGACTACATATCAAGCATTCCATAGCTCCTAAAGATCTTACTGGTGACTCCCAGAGGAAGGGATCCTGCCCTGCCAGGTGGGGACAGCTGCTACAGGATCAGGTGCAATGGGGTCACACACAAACCCGGTTGGAGAGCTGGCTCTACCACGAGTTGTGGAACCACAGGACAATTACGTCACTGGTCTCAGCTTCAGCTGTTAAATGGGGAGAATGCCCACTGAGAACATCGTACTGAGTGTGGATAAAGAAAATAGGTCCGCTCCGGCACACACGAGTTTTCTATGGCTTGCCATCTCCAACTGGCTTGGTTTGGGGAGTTGTGTTCAAAGCACTACTTAATTTATCCACCAGGTGGCACCAAAAACTAACCTTGACCGAACTCGGGGCTGCCTTTGTGCTGACCCTGACTCACAGCGCTGCACACTACAGGGCAAAGTAGAGCTACCTATTGTATCTGAGGCTGCTCATCTTTACCAGAGCAAGACGGTGATAGCTCTTCTACGGAGTAGGTGATGGGTTCATACTGCTGACTTTGCATTTTGCAGCCCAAAGCCAAGTCCACTTCACCAGGTCTTCTTGCACCAAAAATTAGAGTCCTATTTTTGGGAAGTACCAGGTATCAAAAGATCCCAAACAAACAACTATATTGATGTGAGTGAGGGAGTTTGGATTGGAGACCCAAAGTCCATCTGTGGACAATTAGA